AAAGCACATCTTGTTGGCAATATGAGGTGATGATAAAATAGTCTGAACAATTTCAAGAAATTCAATGAAATTACTTTGAGGTGGCCTGTAGATTTCACCAATAACGATATGTTTTTTACCAGGAACTTCGATCTCTATAAATATGCTTTCAAATATATCAGACATGATGGTTAAGTCATTAAGTATTTTGGATGCATAATCATTTGAAATATACAAGCCAACTCCGCCGCCAGTTTTGTTTTCCTGTTATTAGTGACAAGAGTGTAGCCATCAATAAAAAACAGTGAGGAGTTAGATTTAATCCAGGTTTCACAAATACCAATGAATGAACAATCATATTTAATTTTGTCCAGGAGTAGTTGAAACTGGTCAAAATTTTTACCGAGACTTCTGACATTGCATTGTAGAAAAGATAGTTTATTGACAGCCTTTGAAAAATGATCAATGAACTGAGATTCTGTAAAATAGCGTGAATGTTTGCTGCCTGACAATGACTCACATGAGTCCATGTTCAGTTGCAACTCAGCAGTGCATAAATTTAAATATTCAGCCGTGTCAGCTTCATGACGAACGTTATCTGTAGTTATGTAAGAGGAGGATGCCTGTGAATTATCAGGTGGTAAAAGTTGTTGATCATTACCAACATTAGATAATAGAGGTTCAGTCATTGATAAAACATGAAGTAACAGGTGAATAACGGAGAATCCAGTAGATGAACTGGAATGACATGTATATAAATATGAATAGGAAAGAAGAACGTTCAGGTGGTGTAAATACACAAAAGGCGTGGTTTATAATATGACATTTGTTGTATAGTAGAATTAGAGATGGTTCGCAATAGAATGTAATAACCGATTTAGTACAGGTAGCATCAATCAGGAAGTTAACTGAATCAATTGTACATACGTATACATTCATTGGAAATAAGATCGAGACAAAACACAGATAAGAAATAAAAACAAAAAAATTCATTACTTAGCACTTGTACTAGAACACGTACAAGAAACTCATGGGCTCCTTTCAGCCACCGCACGTAGAAGAAATTTAGAAAATTCAGGCAAAAGCAAGAGAGAGAGGGGGGGGGGGGGGGGGGAGAAAGTAGGGGGGAAGTGGGGGGGGGGGGGGAGATACCCTTCTTACGGTATCGGGTTACATGTATGTTTACATGTTAATCAAAAGTTAATTCAGAATTTAAAATGCATTTAAGTTGAAACGGTAAAATAGATGTACATGTATCACACAGTAAACAGAGCATATTCCAGAGAAGGTAGAGAATAATTATCGTGATTTGTGTTCAATGCTGAGGTGATTTACCTTACTCCTGCTGGTTATTCCACTTGGAGGTGTTTTTTTCCTTCCATTTGAGTTCAACTGAAGCTCCGACAACGATTATCTTAGTGGAGACTCCCTTTTGCTTCCGGAGGTCGTAAGCGATCTTGGCAAGCATTCCCCTCCTGGCTTTGAGGGCTGGGGGGAGGTCTGTGCGCACTGTGATTCTCACTGACGCCGTGGCGCGATCTTGGGGGATCCTTTGGCGCTGACCGTTTTCGAAAGCGGCGAGCAGGCGGTTACGATCCTCCATGTAAACGAACTTCGCGATGATTGCATTCGGGGCTTGTGGGCGGGTCGATGAGGCGGTAGCTCCGTTGTTGCGTCTTGGTAGGCGGTGTGCGTTTGCGATCGCGATGTCGTTAGCTTCCCTTTCATTGATGCCGAGGTGTATGAAGACCTTTTGCAAGACGTCGCGTACTTTTTCGTCGGGGGTTTCATTAACGCCGTAAAAAAGAAGATTGGCGCGCCGATTGTAGATTTCCATTATGACAATCTTCTCTTCGAGGTCGGCGATTTTTTCCGCCATTTTCTTTTCAATCGCGGGTAGCTTTACATGCTGAAGATTGGCAACCAAATCGGAATTCATGCTAACAGAATCCTCGAGTTCGGTTTGCCTGCGCTTGATGGAGGCCACCTCTGCTGTGAGTAGGTCCAGTTTCCCGCATACTGCAGCTGAGCTAGCGGTTATCGAACGCTGGATGTCGGCGAGCGTCAATTCGGGTTCCGCTTGCGGGCGAAGTAGCGGCTCACTTGGGCCTGGCTTGCTGGCACCTCTCGTAGTATTTGCACCTTGCGGGTCTGGAGATTGGGCGGGTCCGTTTGTGCTTACAGATGAACGTAAAGCCCTGGAATTAGCCATTTCCTTCAAAAATTCGCGATACTTAACCCTGCTTCTAGTGTGGAATGAGATTCTAAGATATGAATATCCTCTATAGTCCAGTAAAATCCTTGAAGCAGAAATGCTTAAGCTCGAGTAAGGGTTCGTTGGGTGAATAAAAGGGCGGTGGCTGGAGAGAGTAAAAATTACACGTCCGTTCCCATTAAATCATTAGAGAAAGAAGACGATTCGTTGTACCGTTCTCAACTCTTAATCCTCGCCTGAATTCAGTCCCCCCCCCCCCCCTCCCGCGCAAGCGGAAGCTTTTACGTTTCATTAAATCATTAGAGAAAGAAGACGATTCGTTGTACCGTTCTCGACTCATAATCCTCGTCTGAATTCAGTCCCCCCTCCCCCCTCCCGCGCGAAGCGCATAAGCTTTTACGTTTCATTAAATCATTAGAGAAAGAAGACGATTCGTTGTACCGTTCTCGACTCTTAATTTCTTTAAAAAGGGGATGGGTTTTTTCACATTTTTTTCTTCTTCTTTTTCTTCCTTTTTTACTCTTTTTTTTTGTAATCTCAGGGGGGGGGGGATGTTTGTACAGGCCATCCCCCCTCCTTCGAGCCAGGGGGATGCATCCCCCATCCACCCCCCCCCCGATTTACGCCCCTGGCTATAATGACATGATTTTCCAGGAATTTTTTTCAATTTTGGTTATAAATTATAATTGTATATGAAAAATTGTGTTTGTTGGAAAACTACAACTTCCCAAATTTACAGTCAGGCAAAAATAATTATGCTTATTTAGAAGCCTTCATGTCAGGGCCTTAAGGTGGGTCCCTGCATGCTCATCTGACCGTAATTAAAAAACCTAAAATCCCTGGGCTTACGGGGGATCTGTCCCCTGGACCCTTACCAAGGGCTTATTATAGACTGTAGGTGGTATACCCAATCAAGCAAAGTAGAATTTCCAGGGCCAGAGAATACCCTGATGAAAAGTAAACGGATGCCAAAAGGGCGGCCTGGAAACGAAATTCACTCCAGCTTCCTGAAAAATGGTGCCCCTCCCGCAGGCTTAAACTTATGCGATCGGGCAGAAATCGCTTTAGGAAGTAGGGGTTATAGTCTTGCACTCATAGAAGAAAGTGCAGGACCAGAGAAAACCCCGATTAAAAATCAACGGATGCCAAAAGGGCGGCCTGGAAACGAAATTTGCTCCATTTTAATGCCTAAAAAACCCTAAAAAAGTTATTTGAGTTTCACGTCATCTTCCCAAAAATGGAGCCCCTCCCGCAGGCTTAAACGTATGCGATCGGGCAGAAATTGCCTTAGGAAGTAGGGGGTATATTCCTGCATTCATAGAAGGAAGTACAGGGCCAGAAAAAAACGCCGATGAAAAGTAAACGGATGCCAGAAGGGCGGCCTGGAGACGAAATTCGCTCCATTTAAACGCTTGAAAAACTAATAGAGGGTGTTGCACAGTGACGCCTTCAAAGTAAACCATAGAAAGCTTCGTGGTTTGAGGATTTTTTGAGGATTTTTTTGCATGTCAGAGGGTTAGTACAGTAAAAGGAATATAATGAGTAACATTTTATACAAAAATTAAGCAATTTTTTCATCAACCTTCAACAGTGTTACCGAGTCACTAAGGGCCAAGTGGGGAAACTGAATTCAGACAAGGATTAAGAGTAAAGCGGTAAAGCGAATCGTCTTATTTCTCTAATAATTTAATGAAACGGCAAAGCTTCTGCGCTTCGTGCGAGAGGGGCGAAACAAGAATTAAAAGTCGAAAACGATAGTGACAACGGATCGTCTTCTTTCTCTAATAATTTATTGAAGTGTCAAAGCTTCCGCGCTTTGCGCGGGAGGGGAAAACTGAAAAATAACTTAGTTCCTGGCCCTGGGTTTATAGGTTTAAATTTGTAGACATTGGGACATTGGGGTCTGAAAAGGCATGAAAACCCAGGGGACCCCACCGTGGAAATAAGCTCTCGAGCTTTCGTGGGTTATCCTGTGCAAGCTGACTTAATTTTGATCTGTTATTATTGTATATTGTTGTATCGAAGCTTGTCGAATAAAAATAAATCAATCAATCAATCCTTAACCCCCACCGGGCCCCTGCATGCTCCCCTAGCCGTTTAAAAAAGAACCCCTAATTGAAAACTCTGGATACGGGCCATACGGGCCTGTAGACTAATTGCTCCAGCTCCGCCCATTATAATATACGCCATTGATTTTACATTAATCGTTTCTCGAAAAAGTCGACGCATGATATCAGATCAGATGATATGTCATGTGGAATAAAGTTTTAATCAATCTACTGTCAACTATAGTAAGTCTTCACAAAATATGGCCGAGGCCTACAAGCGTTTTAACAGATTCAGAGAATATTATGATTAAAAGATGTTGTACGTTGGGGGGGGGGGGGGGTAGGAGGTGGGGTGTATCATGGATACTTTGGGTATCAATAATTCTGATGACAATTTTCCCCTGACGGCTTGCTAGCAAATTTAAGTAATATTGTGCCCCCACTTACGGATCAGCCCGTCCCCAAGTAGGGGAGGGGCTAGGGGTAGCTGTCCTATGGGGTTAATTGGCACTCCCTGCATGGAAAAAAAACTCACATCTCAATGCTCACCCGAAGTGCATGAGGCCAAACAATTTTCGTGATAAAAGTTTATGTAAAAAGAAAAAGATGTATTTGGTAATAACAGTAAAAATTGACTTTTTGCCATATAAATTAGCAACAACAACAGTAACAACAACAACGACCACAAAATCAGTAACGATAACAACACAGCAAGCTAGCTAGCAGATGATGCGATCCTGCGGGCTGCAGCTGGCATCACAAGCGCTACAACTATAGCACTAGGAGCGCGCTCAGAGCTAGCTAGCCTGCGCTGGACCATTCGCTGACGATTCAAGCATTGTAGAATCTTCAGTCTCATCCAGTGACAGGTAAATATTTCATTATTTGCATGTTATAAAATGATTACTTAGTTATGTAAATGGCTCGCTCTCTATAAACGTGAATTGCTGTATTTATTAGTTTTATTAGGGAAACTTTTGCCGCTTTTGGCATTTTGAGTTTTTCAATGATTTCCCACCTAGATCTAGGCCTAGTCCGATACGTGTCATTTTTTGTATGTTCTAGAACTGCAGAAGCGCGAGGCTGAGCTGTCCAAATGTGTGAGTTGTAATCGGCCAGATTCTGTACTTAACCAATATTTCGCAATGATTATGGACAATTTATGACCTGGGTAGTCATTCGTTAATGGTAAGCCACCCGATTTTCTCACAATGTCATTCATTTGAAGTAAACATAGACCGTCACCTAGATCTAGATCTAGATCTACAAGCTTTGCACTTGTATTAGTTTTGTATGTACATTAGATCTAGTCTAGATTCTAGTCTCTAGATCTAATCTAATCTCATTATTTGATAAATTTTCGCATCAGATTCTGTGTGCGTGCGTATCATAAATATTTAAGACTAGCGCATGACGTATGGTTCCTATTGAGCCAATCAAATACAGCGATAGGATGGCAAGGACAGGTACCCTACTTAAGTTAAAAAAAGACGCGGGCCCGGGCGCAAATTTTTTATCATAGAACCTAATGGATATTAATGGATACTAATTTATCATTAATAATATTCACTTTCTGCAGGACCGTGGCATTCACTTCAACCTTTGACCTTTCATTCCTGAGCATATTCTGATTCAAGATGGTGCGAAGTAAGTCTTTATTTGTTTAATTTTTTTCATCCTTGAATTTTGAAACGGTAATCATATTTCTCACTTTTATCTTTATTTTCCAATCAATTTTTAAAAGAGAAGTTTGACACCTTCCATTAAATTAAGTTAACATCAAATTCTAAAGAACTTTGCAGGAATTATGAATAGGTCTATTTCCCAAATGAAATCTTGCTTTAAAGGGAAATATATCTTTTTTTATTATTTTATCTCCTGTCAGTCCGTTGAATTATTGTGAAAGTTGCCATAGAAGGTCAAATATATTTATCGACCACTTCTTTTAAAGGCACACTGTCCTACTTGTAGCTACAGGTACTTGCTCCCTCTATATAGAAAACTTCCCCAATCGGTGCCTGTTGGTCCCCCATGGTCCTCCTTTTCTTATGTTAAATGAGAGCTGAGTTAATGAGAAAGCCACCTGTCACAGTGACCTCGCTGGCTCGCTGGGTGGTCTAATCCCTTCTACCTGAAGTAGTAAAGCCTGCCTTTAAGATGTTTGAAAGGGATAGTTGATTTCTTGTTTCAGACCGCAAATGCCTTCAAAGTGCATGGTTATTGTGCTTGTTCTTAGTCATGACATTTCTAGTGCTCTTTTAGGACCTAAAATTGCTATGAAGATAATTGTACAAAACACATCGGATATCTGAAACTATGCATTAATTATATGGCAAATGAATAATGATTGTAGGAAGAAAAGTGTTCTTTCATCAAATTATTTGTGTGACTTTGGTTGTGTTTAGTCACTGAAGATATGGTACGGAAGAGATCAGAACACAACGAGATGGAGATATCCACCCTTGAGGAAATCTCCCTTCATCAGCAAGATATAGAAAGGTAAGTATAGGCGCGTCTTCATCATCTCGAGATTGCCAAATAGCCCGCTATTTGTGATTTGGGAAATAATCCCAAATTTACAAATCACGTCTTCATCAGCTCGAGATTCGACCTCAAAACTTGAAACTCGACCTTGAGAAATTAGCTCAAGATATTTGCCTAGTGTTAGCGCATAGTGCGAGTCTTCAATCTGGTGAAGACGCACTGGACAAATAGCTGGATATTTTGAAGGTCATGATGGAATTACAAATCGAGGGTTCAGTGACACAAAGACGTAACTCCATATTTTGCCAAAATGAGTATTTGATATCAAAATGTTCAGAAAAATGTGGGCTTTCCAGTTTCCAGGAAACACAAAGACTTAACGCCACCTAACACCCCATCGAAGTCAATGGCTAGTGAAACATAGAATTAACTCCCTTAAGGCCCAAGTGCTCAGTGACACATAAACCACTTTTTCTCAAAATGGCCAAAATGGAGTTACGTCTTTGTGTCACTGACCCTTCAAAATTAACAATAGTGCATTTCCATCCACCTGTCATGATCCCGTATTATGAGGTTTTGGTAGCTTTCCAAAATCAATAGAAGATATCAAACTGATTATCAATTGCTCTTTAAAGCCTGTCTGTACTAGTTTGGCCAGGGGGAATTAGACCTCCCTGCAAGGTCACTAACAGGAGGTTATCTCATCAAATCAGCTCTCAATGGGGGACCAACAGGCACCGATTAGGCATTGTTTGCTATATAGAGGGTGCAAGTAGCTATAAATAGAGCAGTGGGGCTTTAAATGGAGTATCACCAACAAATCACATTTTCAACAAACCTTCAACAAATCTTGACCAATCCAAAGTATATTAAAGTCTAATATTATTAGACAATCAGATCAGATCTGTACATTCCTTAACCGTAAGCTAGTTAAACTCCGGGTTCACTTATGCTTGCACAGGGATTATGAGAATTATTTTGTATTCAACCTTGTGATAACTCATGCTGTAAATCTATAAAGTGCTATCATTATTAGGTATACATGTATATGTAAGTAAGGATTATATATTATATTTACCTAAACTTTATTTGACATTACCAAATGCTATTTTTGCTGTTTAATTCAGGATTGAGTTTCTTGACAAGTGGTGCAGACATCTCAAGATTCTTTACCTTCAAAGTAATCTTATTCCTAAAATTGGTGAGTTTTTACTTCTCTTCTCGTTTATGGATGCAACATATTTTACAATGCTGTTTAATTCCCATGGGTTTTGTTTCATTGCAAACAGCCAATACTTAATGGATGTAATTCATCAACATATAACATGTACAGTATTTTGCAATCATATTTGCATTTTCTTAATGATGCAAATGTTGCCCAATTTCACAGACAATTTTTAGGTAACTAGATACAATTATGTAGGGCATAGTATATTCAGTGGAAAATAAGTGGAATTGGGCTGTGGGATAATTAGCTGAAAAGTCTTGAGTATTAGTAATGACAAGAATATCATTCACTTTCCAGCAAACTACCCTTTGAGTACTTTACATGACTGTCCTAGCTGACTTAAGGATTAAGCATTTGAATAACATTCCCTCTGTAGTCTTGATTACACCTTCCTCTTGTATTTGTTTCATGCAGAGAACGTTGGGCGGCTGAAGAAACTAGAGTATCTTAATCTTGCTCTGAATAATGTGGAGAGGATAGAGAATCTATCAGGTACCAGTAGTTTAACCCCTCCCCCCCACCACCACCACCACCACCACCACCACCTTGCTCTCTTCTGCATCTTTTACATTTCTCTCTTTCTCTCATTATTTTGTTTGATTATGATGGAACATGTACCAGTATTATTATTTTTGTATAATTCTATTCTACATGTATATCTTTGTATTTTTATTTATTATTTATTCAGCAATTCACAAAATATATAACAATGTAAATATAAGTAAAGGAACATTGAGAGAATGTCAATAATAAATGCACAGTCTTCCTGGAGGTCCTCTGAGTGCATCAGTTGGCTGCCCGGGAAGAGGAAAGCAAACTAAATCACTGTAACCGTAATGGTCCCTCTTCCCGACCAACTGGTGCACCCAGAAGACCTGGAAAATATAGCATGAAGGTTATCAAAATGTATAACATTTCTTGAACAAACCAGCTAACAAAAACAAAGCACAAGGAGGAAATCAAATTAATATGTATGATGACACTGGGTCATGACATGATACTGAACATAAACATGAGGAATTAAGTCTGGCTTAAAAACTATTGCATAAATTGTCAAGTAGGCAAACTGAAACCATGAAGTTTACCGATGTGTGTTTCTCTCGTCTATACAGGATGTGAATCTCTGACGAAGCTTGACCTGACGGTGAACTTTGTTGGTGAGCTGACCAGTATCGAGTGCCTCAGGGATAGTTATAGCCTCAGAGAGATGTAAGCTCATAATACCAGGCAACTTTTGCTTCTCCCAATAACATTTCTTAAAGGGTTCCGGTAACTTTGTCTTAGATCCTTGAAAAAATTCGTTGATTTAGCTCATGCTGCAATGATAATTATAAACTTTTAGGTCAGTTAGGAACCCCACGACTTTTACAAGCCTGTCTGAATATCAAGATATTTATGATTGAAAATCAAAATCAAATTTTGCGTTTGCCAAACGGTTTTCATAACACTACAGTCTCTTAGGGTAAATGAGTATGGTAAAAACCGGTCACTCAAAGGTTTCTACTTTTTTGAGGCACTTATTGATTATTTTGAAGCGCAATTTTTTAGGGCTTTAATATAACACCATATTACAGACACTGCTAACACGTAGGGCCATGCATCTCAGATTTAACACTGTTAAATGATCCCTTTAAGATCAGCTTCAGAGATATTTATATTTCATTTGAATCTCTGACTTTAAGATTGCATGTGAAGGTTCATGCAGGAGAGCTATTTCTTGAAAGCATCACGGACTATTGGTCTCTACTTACTTAGCTCTTCATATAACGGGTTGGGAGTGATGTCCTCCAATCAATCACAGAGTTATAATCACTTACATCATGTATATCTTGAACTGCATGTATGGAGGTGACATTGATATTTAATCTCAAGATATTATTGCAAAGTTTGATCAATGACATGACACCTCTTCCTAAGGCAAGTGCTAAAATACATAGAGCTTTAGCCACTCTCTACCTGGGTTTAGTAAGTGGGAACCTTCTCAAAAGAAATTCTTTGAATATTTGAGAGCTTCAGTAGGGAAGCCTTGCTAAAATAAACCTCAACACTGTATGCATTCTTTTGTTTTCATAGAAAAAAATGCTTTTATAGCCCCCTTAAAGGTATAGACCAATTTGGAAACGCCCCCCTCTCCAAAAATGAAATGAAAGCTCTTATTACCAATCATGTGAAAGAATATGTTTTGACTAATACGTTATGATACAAATTTTGCCGGGAAACTGCCTACTAATGGATATATTTGGTGAATTATCATATTGATCTGGCCTGGATAGATGTCGTGAATGCACTTTAACATTGAACATTCAGGCATATATTTTAGTTTTTTTGCAAATTTAGGTTGAAGAATTGCCATTCAAACCTCTGAAGGTAATATTTAAACAATATTGAATGGATATTTTGCACCCAAAACCCTTGAATCGCAATTTTACCACTACTGGTGTATACCTTTAAGATATTTTTACAGAGGTGAATTGAATGAGTTTTTCCATTACACTAGATTCCTTACAGGTAATCCATGCACAGAATATGAAGGTTACAAGGAGTTTGTTATTGGGACTCTACCACAGCTAAAGGTAACTTTTAGTATTGGACATTTTTTCATTTGTTAGAAAAAATGAAAGGGAGAGTGGCATATATCGTTATGTGAACAGTAGTAGGATAAGACATCTGAATTCCTTAACATTATCAGTTATAAAAATTTAGTTCTTGAGAAAGTTCTGTGAAGATGGATATACAGTATCAGTGAATGAAAAATTTCTTGAATGTTATATGTGTAATACAATGTACATGTATACGGTACAAGGTTTATTTGGCATAATAATGATAGTAAAGTGATACCTGTCTATAAAGACCACCCGAGGGAGACAAGAAAAGTGGTCTTTATAGGCAGGTGGTCTTTATGTACAGCTTCCTTTAGTACATGTTTCAATGAGAAACCATTTCAAGGGAAACAAAAAAATGGTCTTTGTAAAGCAGATTTGACTGTGTTTACATTCTGTTCTTGTGTATAATGCTTACCACATTACAATAGAATGTCTAAATTCGCTTCCGGAGGATTTTGAATATTACTACCCCTTAATTACGTGCAGAAATTTGTTTGTTTTGGAAAGATTCAATGCATGTATTTGATTTGACATGAAACATGCCTGCCTGTCTATATTGCAGAGATTAGATGGGAAAGAAATCGAGAAATCTGAGCGAATATCAGCTCTACAAGAAGTGGATGCAATCAGACCTAAGATTCTTGAACAACAGAAAGCATATCAACTTAGAAGGGTAAGTATCTCTGCTGATCATTGAAGATACAGGAGAAAAGGTAAAGATTATAGTTCATTACCAAACTTGATAATTACATGTATGTGCCCTTCAACACATATATTGGATATAGATTTTCAAACAAAGTTCTTCTTTTTATTCATCTTGATACAGATATTATTCCATGACATCAAATCTAAATTCTTGACCCTGTTTTGAATGTTGAGATGCATGACAGTTATCTTTCTCAACAAATATATGTTAACAGAAATGTAGGTATTCCAAACAGCCTATAACAGTGAAAGGGTTTTCGTTGAGGTAAACAAAGTGAGGAGAAGGAGATTGGGAAGAAGAATATAAAAATATTGACGCAATAAGGGTTATATGTTAGAATTTCTCTTTAATATGATGAAAAAGAAGGATAGGGCAGAGAGAGAGAGAGAGAATTCTGATTTTGTTCTTGTCCATGATTCTGTTTCTAGGAGAAAGAGAAATCTGAAGCGGAGAATCACAAGAAGGAAAAGGAAGAGAAGAAAGAAAGGAAGAAAGGTTTCGATAAAACATGGTACACAGATATCAATGAAGAGTAAGTTATTAACTTTCCAATTCTAATAACCTGTGTGTGTGTCAGGGGGGGGGGGGGTGATGCTTTGAAAGCCAGATATTTGTGAAAGAAAGGAGAATGTGTCAAATTTGCCAAATCATATGTTTAATTTAATGTTTAGTGAGTGAAAACACATTTATCGTGCATATTAGTTTATTTTATTGAACCAATTTCAATATATTGTATTTTAATGTAATTATTAATCTTTGGTAAATTTAACTTGTTTCAGCCTTTGGCTGCTATTTTGAATGTATGATTTTAAATCAATAAAATCACTTTATAGAATTATTGATTAATAGTTCTTTTGTCCTGCAGAAATAATGATTAGTAAATGAATTTAATCATATATTGTGTGGGTCTTGTCTCAGGTAGATATTAATGCTAATATTGCTGGTGAATACAGCAATCACACACTCTATCCCTCTCTCTGTCTCTCTGTCTGTGTCTGTCTGTCTGTCTGTCTGTCTCTCTCTCTCTCTCCCCTAGGCCCTTTTCTCTCTCTTTCTGTCTCTGTCTGTCTATATGTCTGTCTGTCTCTGTGTCTGTCTCTCTTCTATGTCTCTATTGTACTGTCTCTTTTTCTGTCTGTCTCTCTCCTATGTCTCTATCTGTCTCTTTCTGTCTGTCTGTCTGTCTCTTTCTGTCTCTGTCTGTCTATATGTTTGTCTGTCTCTGTGTCTGTCTCTCTTCTATGTCTCTATTGTTCTGTCTCTCTTTCTGTCTCTCTCTCTCTTTCTGTCTCTGCCTATATGTATGTCTATCTGTCTCTGTCTGTCTCTATCGTTCTGTCTCTGTCTGTCGGTCTGTCTCGTCTCTCTCCTATGTCTCTGTCTGTTTCTACCTCTCTCTCTCTTCTATGTCTCTTTTATTTTTTTTCATCTTGCTATCTTTCATTTAATCTCTTCTACAGTGATACACTCCGAGAGAAACCAAAGAGTAAAGATGAGGAGGAGGATGAAGAAGAAGAGTAAGTTTGCTGAGTTTATCTTCAAAGATATATTATTATGCCTTGTTTGTTTCAGTTATATATAAGCATAAATGGAAAGTGTACTAAGTCACACCAGCACTTGTGAACACTCAGTAGGCATTACATGTTTTAAATTAATGAGGCATTCAAGTTCCAGCATGGAATGTCTAAGGAAGTAAACCGTGAGCCTGGGTAAGTTACCTTGAAATCCACTTGTCTGACTTACACGATAGGGTAAGTATCAAAATGTTTATTGCAGCATCATGTAGCGGTAATATTCATCTGCTGATTATTTTTTTCTTCCCGAACTCCCCCTCCCCGATTTTTTCTGATTTTACTCCTATTTTTCCTGATTTTCTTACTCAAAATGGAGGAGGGGGGGGGGGATGTTGTTAGATGCCATTTTTTCCCCAGAATACTTATTTTTTCAGTCAAGGGGGGGGGGGGGGGGGGAGGAGGGTTAGTGCTCACTATCACCCATGAATATTACAAAGACATACCTTTTAAGATGTTCTAGCGAAGTTGTTTTTATTTCCAGAGAAAATATTTATTTCCAATTCCATTGGAAGATCATAGTCATGATAACTGTTATAGCAGAGGTGATGTGGTCTAATGGATAAGTCGTTGGACTGTGGATCACAGGGTTCGCAGTTCGAGTCCCACCACGGCACCCAGGTGTTAAATGGGTACCGGTAGGAAGGAATTTCTTGAATGCTGTGAGCTCTGAAATCGCCGCAGCCTAGCTGAGTCAGGGTAATAGTTGGAGCACCTTGCATGGTGGATATGTGCGCTATATAAATATCCAATATTATATCCCTTATCGTAAGATTGTTGCATTAGGTGTATACACAACAAGAAAAAGAATACCGTAAATCTCCGTGTATAAGGCGCACCCCTATTTTTTTTGGGGGAAAAAAAAAAAAAAAAAAAAAAAAAAAAAAAAAAAAAAAAAAATCTTTTTTTTTTGTTTTGTTGTTGTTGTTGTTTTGTTGCCGAAAACCCATGCGGGGAAGGACCTTCATTCTACATCGAGGTGCAGTTGAAGTTGTGAACTTTTCAAAAATAATAGTAACAACAGTCTAAGGCTTCATGATACCAAGTGTCCCACACCAGCCTCTTCACATCACCTAGCAGAAGCACTGTGTTCTATGCCAAACATCAATAGTCATGCATGATATGAATAGCATCCTCTAAATTTCTGACAATGGAGTACCTAGGATAGAACCTTGTGGTACACCATTTGTTATAGAAAATAAATTTGAGGAATTATTATTATAAACTACATATTGAGATCTATTAGAAAGATTACTTTCAAACCAAGATGACAGACAAATTTGAGTGTTGTTGTAGTTTCCGAGTGGTGAGTCACCACACTGATTACTGAGCTAGGAGACATTGCCAGGCATAGCGCCATAAATAAAAACTAAAAAAATACTAAAAAAAAAAAAACTAAAAAAAAAAACAAAAAAAAAAAAAAACTTTTTTTTTTCTGTACCTGTGTATAAGACGCACCCCCGACTTTTAAATTTTTTCGGCGGCAAAAAAGTGCGCCTTATACACAGAGATTTACGGTAGTTTTACTGTAAAAGACGTTTCCTGCCGACTAGATCGAAATAGTTCATTTTTATTGATGACGTCACGCATAGTACCTTTTTTTCCCTGGGGAAAAAAGGTACTATGCGTGACGTCACAAAAAAACCCCGCATATTCTTTAACTATGCGTTTTCCTAGCGAGCGCGTACATGATTTCAAAGTGCCTCTGCGTGGTCAACCCCTGCGGTGTCACGGCGCTCAAGCCATACACTGTGCGATAACTGCACTACACTAGCGCCAGCTAAACATTTTTACATCCTTCAATGTTTCATTTGAGCCGTGCAATTTTCTTTATTTCTTTTCGATCTGAATGTAGATGTGAATGTGAGTATAAGGTTCATGTTATTACAGAAGTTTACAAGGAATAATACAGATGGAAGGGATATAAAACAAATATAAAATGACTCATTCTCGGAACAAGCTAAAACCATTCGCACTCAGGAACATCATTAGTACTTTTCTCCTCAGGCCGATGGCCCTCGGGAGAATACATGTAGTACTAGTTGATGTTCCTTCGATGCGAATAGTTTCAGCTAGATCCTCGAGTGTCATTGTGTATTTGTATATTGTATCATGCATACAAAGAATATTGCAATCAGATGCATGGTCTAAAAGAGGTCACATGATAAAATATAGATAAGTACTATCTACCTTAGATAGTACTTTTGTAAAGTAATTTTTTGCTGCTACCCCACTTGCCCACCCTTGCCCATTGAATACGCATAGCAAAGTAGGTTACGCGAAATGTCAAAGTCAATGTCAATGTCAAATGAGCACGCATCGACTGTATTACATGTATGCATGTTGTGCTTTGTAAAATCTAGCTGAAGCTAAACTGTCTGCAGAATCAATTCTTATTATTATGTAACATTCACTTTAAATAGACCTTATTGCCGATGTGGGATATAAAACAAATATTAACCTCCTTTACTCGAGCAATGGATACAAACTATCATCGCCTCGGTGATGATAGTTTGCACCATTACCCTCGTAGTCAATTAATATTTGCTTATTATTACTAGTAGTAATAGTAAGGAACCTTATACCATGGATATTTTTTGTATTAATGAATATTTCTTGGAAAACTTTTCATTTGAGGTTTTGGAATGAGAAGGTTGGTTTTACACCTGAATCTCGAGTGGCTCTGAGTGAACATGTACAGGAGAAGAAGAGACAAGAGGAAGAGGAAAGAAGGTCAGAGCTTGGTTTGGATTTATTTGGATTTATATAAAGATGTATGTACTAATCACACCAGCTTCTTAACCTGTGGGGTCTGAACATTACCATAATAATCATAATAAAAACTGTGCTTAAAAACTGCTTACCACCGAAGTCTCAATGGCTATAACGAACAAAATACAATGATAAACAATTACATATTAAACAAAACAAACAAAATGCAAATGAACCTACAAATTACAATACATACTGAAATATACATCAATATGAACAGAGCAAGTTAATCTTCAAAAGCAATTTTGAATAAATGTGTCTGAAGAAAAAGACTCAAGAATTGATTTATAAAGGAAGACAGAGAGGTTGCCACTCAATGAACTAAAACTTAATAACAAAAGATGGTAAGGGAGTATGAAAGATCTGTATTGTCATAAACCACCACAAGTTGAAAATTGAAAGTTCACCGATATCCTAACACACATATCCATGCCAAGGAATATCCTTACAAATTATTTATATGGTTGGTAGTCAAATTATGTTCTGAAAGTGTACAATGATGTTCTCATGTGTTGCACTTGTGAAAATGAAATTACATGATGTCCAGATATAACTAAAATCATCATTATTGCTTCTTAAAGCTTGGGACCCGCTTAAAAGCAAACCTCTTTGTATCTTCTTATGCAAGTAATAAGGGCCTAACTACTACTACTAGGTCGAGTGTACTCGCACTGATTTGACAAAGCTTTTTCCATTCAGTTCTATTCTCCATGATCTTTGGGAGTTCCTGCCTTGGTAGACAGGTGTCATTTTCTAACTGGGCTATGTAAGTCATTGCTGGGCCTAAAGAGTATTGTAATACCTGCCGCAGATGAATAACATCGCTAAATGATTATAAGTAAACTCTAAACGTTAACACCACCGATCAGATGAAATGTGAATGACTTGACAAAGATAAAAATCAGTTTTTCTTTGTTGTTATGACAGTAAGAAGCAAGGTCCTAACCCACCAAAGAGAGTTGTAAGACTGACGACAGACGACGGGAACCCGCTTAATGTCAATGAAGCAAAGTAAGTTTCAAGAGTTTCTTTGATATATTTTAATAATAATAATAATAATAATAATACATGAGATTTATATAGCGCCATTATCCATTTTGATTAAATGCTCAAGGCGCTTCAAAATATAAGGGAACACATTACATCATGACAAAGAATCGTGTACATTTACATAAGAAAGAAAATGCATAAATGAAAGAATGAAAGAATGAATGTCTGTCTTCAAAACGCAAAATTAAACAAATGGGATTTAAGGTTGCTCTTAAAAGATGTTGAAGAGTCGGAGTTCTTCAGCTCCTGTGGAAGTGAATTCCACAGGGCTGGTCCGGCATGAGCAAAAGCTCGTTCCCCCCAAGATTTCTTTGAAAGCGGTATGTGTAGAAGACCAGAGTTGGAAGATCGGAGGGTACGTGTGGGTTGGTAGAGGTGAACTAAAGACTGGTTGTATTCAGGAGCTGTTCTGTTCATGATTTGATGAACTAAAAGGAGGATTTTGAAAATTATACGTTCTTTTACAGGCAACCAATGGAGATTTTGTAAGATAGGTGTAATGTGACTATGTTTGCTTGACAGAGAAATGATGCGTGCAGCTGCGTTTTGTAGTTTTTGTAACTGTGCAATTTGAGAATTTGGTAAATTATAGAGTAAACTGTTGCCGAAATCCAAACGTGAAGAAATAAGTGAGTGAACAAGTTTCTCTGTTGCCGAACGAGTCAGATATTTCCGTATGAAGCCAATATTGCGCAATTGATAGCGAACTGATCTGGAAATGCTTGTGATTTGTTTAGACATAGACATTTGAGAATCAAGAATGACGCCAAGATCGCGACATGAATTTGATAAGGGAATGGTGTTACCGGAAATAGAAATTGAGTCTATATTTAATTTATTCAACTGAGATTTTGAGCCGAAAAGAATGAATTCGCATTTACTATGATTTAATAGCAGAGAATGTGACTTCATCCAGGCGTCAATATCAGCGATGCAATTTTCCAAATTTTGCAAGGTTTGGGAAGCTCGAATTTGATGCGGCGGAAAAGAAACAAAAACTTGTATGTCATCTGCATATAAATGATAACGAACAGAATGACGTTGAAAAACATTTCTGAGACCGGTTAAATATATTGAAAATAAGGTGGGCCCGCCCACAGAGCCTTGGGGTACTCCACAGCCAAGTGGCCTGGGGGAGGATGTGAAACCATTTAAAAGGACAGACTGTGAATGGCATGAAAGATAGGATTCAAACCATTCAAGAGCCTGGTCCTGGATACCCAGACTTGTTAGAGTATTTACAAGTATTTTGTGGTCTACGGTGTCGAAGGCTGAGGACAGATCTAAAAGGACCATGGCAGTGACGGATCCGGAGTCCATTTCTCGTAAGATTGAGCTTGAAACATTGATGAGAAGGGTCTCAACACTATGATGAGGGCGGTAAGCCGACTGTAAAGGGTCGAATAAATTGTGTTCCAGCAAATAATCTGAGAGTCTAGAGAACACGACTCTCTCTAGAATTTTGAACAAAAATGGCAGATTACACACAGGACGGTAATTTTTCAGGGATTCATTGTCCAAAGAGGGTTTCTTCAACAAAGGGCGTATAAGTGCTGTTTTTAAGACTGAGGGTACAGTGGCTTGATTCATACTAAGATTAACAATGTGAGATATAATCGGGGCAAATATCGGAGCGCAAACTTTTAAAGAATGGTAGGAACTGGATCTAATGGACAAGATTTAGGGGGCAATTTACGAAGAAGGGAAAGAATTTCATCTGCGGTGGTATGTTGAAAGGTCCTTAGTGTGGAAGAGGTGACAGGTTCCAGTGGTAAAACATTTGGATTAAGGCTATCTCGGATTTTTTTAACTTTTAAACAGAAGAATTGAATAAACGTTTCAGCCATGGAATTGCCATCAACATATGACGGCAATGGAGAAGACTGTTTTCGGTTCAAGAGTCGATTGGCGACATTGTAGAGTTTCTTGTGATCATCGCCGCAGTCCTCGATGAGTCTGGTGTGGTATGAACGTTTCGCCTTGGAGACAAGGTAGCTCACCCGGTCTCTCTGAGCACAAAACATCTCTCGGTCAATCGAGAGCTTTCCATTGTCCCGCCATTTCCTCTCAAGTCTCCGCCGCTCTTTCTTCGCTTCGGTGATGTCATGGTTATACCAAGGACTGTCTTGATGAGCTCTTACTTTCCGAGTCTTGGCTGGAGCATGGGAGTTCAGTAACCTGCAGAGTTCTGAGTTGTAGCGGATAACGGCAGCATCGACGCTCTCTGTTGCTGAAGACATGATGCTACTGTTAGTAACATCGTTGGCGAAATCAGTCCTGTTGATGCCCTTGATATTACGAGAGGAAAAAGTTGCATTTTTCCGCTGGGGCTTGTCGAAACGTAGCAAACAGGTAACAGCAGAATGATCAGAGATACCGGGTATTACTTGTAGGCGAGAGTACAACAGTCTATCGGAGTTCCTGACCAGAATGACATCAAGGATATGGCCATGGTCGTGCGTAGGCGTAGTCACCAACTGGCAGAGTCCATGCCCGTCGACAAGATCATTGAACCTTTGGGTGTGTTGGGATGAGAGATTGTCTAAATGTATATTAAGATCTCCTGTGATGACCAGAGGAGATAATTTATACAATTTCTCATCCAACAGATCTGAGAATTCATTAATAAACAATGTAAAAGATTGATAACCTGGTGGTCTATACATGACTAAGATCTCAAGACTAGTCATGCCATTGGAGACCACGGCTGACATAGATTCAAAACTTGTATAGTTAACTAATTGGTTAATATGTACAGAGAGATTGTCCCTGTACAGGAGCCCGACACCACCTCCACGCCTGGAGGCTCTGGGGTGGTGCAGAAATGCAAAACCAGGGGGAGTGAGGTCAGCTATGACTGCATCATCAGATGCAGACAGCCATGTCTCACTGATAGCAGCGATATCACATTTGTTATCCTTAACAAAGTCATTAAAAATTGTGGATTTATTTCGAAGGGAGCGTGCATTGATAGTACATAATTTAAGATGGTCTTCGAATCCGTCACGGCCACCCTTTTCCCCCGATGTGTCCTCAGCCGTCGCCCGATACCTAGGGATAAAATCCTCCCCCAGGCCAAGGTGTTGTCCTCACGCCATTTTTCACATTTACATGTACTTCCGGAATTGAGTGAGTGTAGAAATTCACTCGTATACTGAATCCTATGAATATCCAAAGTCGTGGCGGAGTCATCACCAGAAGGGCCTGGGTTAGGGTTAATATCCCCACAACTTAGTAGTTTGACATGATAGGTTGACACAGAATTGTGATAGTACAGTATGGGACCCCCAATATACTTTCCCTTTGATTGTGCAGAGACATTGAACTGCTGAGAGTAGCTAGCTCTCATACAACAATAAGTATGTGGTAGCTGAGTGCTTCTACACAAGAGAAGCACCACCAATACAATGGAATACAATTTCAATGGTATCATTGTGTCTGTGAGAGTGATCACACAATGCCAAATACATGTACAGTATGGTCTATGTATAGGCAAAACAGAAATGGCTGTACCTACATACAGTATGGCAAAACTGAGAATAAATCTTACTCTAAATACGCTAGAAATACAGTGTAAAAAATCTCAAAAACTTTACCACAGGTGCTTGAAGACAGACATTCATAGATAGAATACAATTCACAATCAAAGAAATATCAGAAATAGCAAAAATATACTGAAAATCAAGAGCTCTGTAGGCGGGCAGCCACAAGGCGCACACAACCAATAAGAAATGATTATCCTTGGCTTTTTGTTATTCAATGGGTAAAAATTGTCAATGTCTTGTTTTTTTTTCTTCGTGTGTTTCATGTCACGATCCCCTTTCTTTTTAAAGCATTTGTTGAAGCTTGCATATACTTTGCATTTCATGCGAGGTTGAAGATACGACAACTGAAAATGGGAAATTCTAAACACTTCTAATGCTGAAAAATGAACAAATACCGGTATAAGAAAGTGAACTGTTGTTTAATACATTGATACTTACCAGTATGTCAAGAATAGAACTCAGTTATATCAAGCTATAATTCAGTGATACTGTCTTTCCTTTCCTTGTATCTTCAGAATTGATTTCTCTCTGACTGACAATGAAGAAGAGAAACATTCGATTTAGATGTTTCATGTTTCAAGCACCTAGACACATCACTCATTGATGTAGATGTTCAACCTACGCATGTTAAAGTAGTTCTCAAAGGAAAGGTAAGATCATAAGTACTCATCACAATGGATGTTGCTTGCCCTATGGAGAAAAATAAGAGAAGAATGTTACTTTAGAGAAAAGTGCTTTGACTTTATTGTGCAAGGTGACGAAATTAAGATGATTAGAACTCTATAGAATTTTTTGAGAAGTGATTATCAGATTGTTTAAAAACTTGGCACACCAATAAGCACAAAATTATTTTTATTAATTTCATATTAATTTCATTATTATTGTTGAACAATTTATGCTAATCCATAAGACACGGTGAATTTGAAACTAAAGTATTATATTTGTTTTATCCAGCTAATTAATGCAATAACTTGTCCTATTTCAAAGTTACAGGAGATCATGATGAGATCAGTAGCACAAGATCAGATAAAAAAAGGTCAACAAAACACTACCAAAAACTCCACTTTTAAATTTCTTGGTGCTTCCAAATTTTGAAATTTTTTAGAAGAAAGTTTCAGAAAATCCAAAAAACTAAAGTTGACCATCCTGACTGAATACACTTTTTGTTTTTGATGATTTGTCGATTATTCTCTTAAAGATAAGGTTGAGTTCTGGGAAGAGGTGAAAAATAATTTGTGAGCGTTATCATTCTTATTATGCAAGTGTGGAAGAACATCAGATAAGACATGTTCCCTGAAAAGCATGGCTCTTCAAATGCCTTCATATTCTAAATATGTCATGTAACTTCGTAAAACTCTGGGGTAGGATTTTTACGCCATGTGTTCGTGTAGTCCCATATACATTTTTCTGTGTACAGTGTTTGTAACGTTACAAAGACATGGCCAAATTTCTTATCATTTTGATGATTCTCGAACCTTGCAATACACACAAATTCTTATATGCTAGATGATCAACCTTTTCTGGTCGATTCCACACCGTTTCTTTCACAATGCAATCGCATGACCAGAACTCAACTTCATCTTTAAATACGGAATGGGCTTTGATATTAATGTTATCGTTATATGCATAGCAGGTTTTACAGTTAATCCTTACTAAAAAGAGGTGATGCTAGTGAACTTAAAGATGTTTGTAACGTTACAAAGACATGGCCAAATTTCTTATCATTTTGATGATTCTCGAACCTTGCAATACACACAAATTCTTATATGCTAGATGATCAACCTTTTCTGGTCGATTCCAAACCGTTTCTTTCACAATGCAATCGCATGACCAGAACTCAACTTCATCTTTAAATACGGAATGGGCTTTGATATTAATGTTATCGTTATATGCATAGCAGGTTTACAGTTAATCCTTACTAAAAAGAGGTGATGCTAGTGAACTTAAAGATAATACAAAGTTTTGGTATGGGTGTCATGAATTTGGTTCAAATGAACATATTGGAAGTATATGCGATCCTACAATATTCAATGATCCTTGTCGCGGTTGAAATCGAGTCTAAAGTTGTGAAATTGTATATAACAAAAACTCTTCATGTGGTATAGCTCCCTCTCAAGGTCAAGATATCAATTAAGATATAAAAAAATGTTTCTTGAATAAAATCGACCAATTAGCTATTCCAATTGGAAATTATATATCACAACTACATATTCTGAGATTTTCATGGTCGCAGCTACCATTGTACGGCCGTAGGCGGTATTTTAAATTTATCATAATTTACCGGGAGCACCGGTAAATTTTTATATTCAATTTTCCTCAAAAGCAGAAGTGTTTCAGGGGCTAAATTTTCTAGTGCTTATAATACATCCATAGGGGCATCCAAATATATCAAAATTGTAAAGAATCACTGTCCACCCAATTTTCAAAATTCCCCAAAACTTTGTATTAACTTTAATAAAATATTATGTTTTATACCAGGTTTTACAGTTAACCCTTACTGAAGAGGTGATGCCTGATGCTAGTGAAGCTAAAAGATCCTTGACCACTGGTCATCTCCTGGTCAAGATGCCTAAGGTATGTCATGATTGGTCCATGTTTGAGGGATCATTTCTATCAAAAATTATCTGTAACTTTGCTACAGACTGCATTTTGAGAGCTATTATTTAAATATGATTAAGTATTGTTTATCAAACTTATTTATTAAACTTGATAGTCTTAGGCATAGAACCCTAATATGGCATTGCTCCCTTAAGGATTTGCATTACCATCATCAGATGGCAACACTTTTTTATATTCAACACCTCCCCCTCCCCCAATTTTTCATTAATTTAGTTGTCAGTTTAAATTAAAAAAACAAAAAAAAACTACCTGTATGTTGTTTTGAAATACAGGTACTTCCTTATTTCTTGTTATTGAAGATAGTCGTAATCATGACAAGAAATTATTATTTCAACAAACAATTTGCTTTGATTGTGTGCCATTTATGCTTACAGGCAACATGTCCTTACCCCCATCCTGAAAGCGATTATGAACTTGCATTTCTTAAAACATACGTCTTTGTTACTTACATTGATGATTGTTTTTCATATGATTGATTGATTGTTTCTCTGATCTGATTTCAGGTTAAGGAGTACATCAGACCAAAGAAGAGCTCATCAAAACCCAAACCAAGCACTACCAGCAATAAAGACACAACCAAGACCTCATCAGTAGAGTAAGCAACAAATATATTACATCAAAGTTCAGTCAAATTACCCCCCCCCCCCTCTCCATTGCTTCACAGTTGAATTACATAACAAAATATTTTTGCAAGTTGCTCTATATTTGTTACTGAGTTTTGATGGAATAAGAGATACCTTGGACATGTTATGCTCTGCTTGTTACTGAGTTTTGATGGAATAAGAGATACCTTGGACATGTTATGCTCTGATTGTTAGTGAGTTTTGATGGAATAAGAGATACCTTGGACATGTTATGCTCTGCTTGTTACTGAGTTTTGATGGAATAAGAGATACCTTGGACATGTTATGCTCTACTTGTTAGTGAGTTTTGATGGAATAAGAGATACCTTGGACATGTTATGCTCTGCTTGTTACTGAGTTTTGATGGAATAAGAGATACCTTGGACATGTTATGCTCTACTTGTTAGTGAGTTTTGATGGAATAAGAGATACCTTGGACATGTTATGCTCTGCTTGTTACTGAGTTTTGATGGAATAAGAGATACCTTGGACATGTTATGCTCTGCTTGTTACTGAGTTTTGATGGAATGAGAGATACCTTGGACATGTTATGCTCTACTTGTTCTATGCTGAAGTTCCAGAGATGAGTGGAAGAGTCAGGAGGCTTGTACAGTAACCATGGAGATGTCTTAAGAGTTTTTATAGAGTAGATACATATATATGAATAGGCTAAAGGCATGAAAGGTTGCTATATAGAACCTCAACTCTGGAGAGGTAAATGAGTACCTGGCAGGAATTAATTCCTTGAAATGCTAGAGCTTTGTAATGGCAGCTAGGCTAAAGACGGGGTAATAATTAATGCACCTCTGAATAGAATTTCTAGATAGATGGCGCTATAGAAATTCCTATGATTATTATAATTATTAACCTTATATATCTCAAACCTCCCATTTCTCATTTTTAGGGTAAAAATATATGGGCATTGAAACTACCACATTATCTAAACCCTTAATTTGATTTTAAGCCACACTGTCCTACTTGTAGCTACTTGCTCCCTCTATATAGAAAACAAGCCTGATCAGTACCCTTTGGTCCCCCATGATCCTCTTTTTCTTATGTTAACTGAGAGCTGAGTTGATGAGATAACCACCTATTCTGTGACCTTGCGGGGTGGTCTAATCCCTCCTGTAAGCTAGTACATATAAGCTTTAAAATAAGATGTGGAAGAAGATTTGTGCATTTGAGCCAATTAAATGATAAATTAATTATTTAAAATCTAAATTCCTGATTTGATATTGTGATGATTGATTACAGGCAGAAGCTTGAGACGTTAGAGGTTGATCCTAGCAGTGGAAAACATGTTGATCTGATGGTGACCAATAGCAATGGAAGACCAACTAAGGGACCAGTACAGGCTAGATGTCAGACTGTGGAGGAAAGGAAAAACAGCGAGGACTTTATAGACAATCCAGATGTACCGCCTTTAATATAGCATTAAAGGCATCGCCTTGCTTCATTCTATCTCTCACAATTATGTTCTATCGGATCCGGGCTAACTCGGACCCGGAGACAACTCGGCCCTGCTGCAAAAAAGGTTGTTTTTTGTCATTTTACCTTTAACCCCTTCCCTAACCCTGACCCTAAACCTAACCCTTACCCTAACCCTAACCTTAACCCTAACCTGCAAAAACTGACCATTTTGCAGCGGGCTAGTTGTCCCTGGGTCCGAGTTAGCCCGTCTCTGTTCTATCTATCATGCAATGTTTGAATGACATTGAAGATCTTGCTTCCTTTCGTTTGTCTATCACATTGATGTTCTACCTATGATACGATGGAGGAGAGGAAGAGCTGCAGATTGTGTGGACGCTCCAGATTTATACATTTTGATCTGAAGTTGGAGACCTTCTGATCTCCGGAGGTTTATCTTCAAGTGGTTGCTTTAGTCCAATTTTGAAACTTGTTGTGTGGAAATTGCATGATTTCATGAATAAGCCAAGCCCATGAAGTTTGATAGCTACCATCACTACTTTTGAATTCATTCACGTTAAACCTGCATACATGTATTTTACAAATCAAATGAGAAACGTCTGCTTAGGGCTGTGAGATGTTGCTGATTTTTGACACTGTATGTTAAACAAGTTTCGAGATATGTTATGTTTTGTATTGAATGATGGGCCAGATTTGCGGCTATTAATGGCAGTAATTAGGGGTTTCATGTAAAATTATACAAATATTGCATACTTCCCAGTTCTACTTAAACTTGATGAATAAACTTCTAAATTAAGAATATCTCGAGCAGCAGATTGGACTTGAAATATTGTGGCACAAGCCATGAGGAACATGCCGAATTTGAAGGTGAATTTTGTGATTTAGAATGACGATGTGTATGCAATATTAGTTGTTTAGAATTTATAGTTGGGCTTTTAAAAAAAAAGATGTTGTATTGCCCTTTAAGTGCCAAGACATGGGTCGGAAATATTTTTTCTTCTTTTTTTTTTCCCTCTTTAAGCTGATACTTCTCAGTTTTGAATGCTTCAATATTTTTTTCCTCTAAAAAACGGTAAAAAAAAAAAACTTTTTAAAAAAGCAGACCGTAGATTTCAAGATTTTTGGGACGGTCACAAAGGGCAATACAACATCTTCTTTTTTTCAATGTGAATGCACAGTATGTATAAAACAGGGTGATACATACCCTCATATGACAATGTAATTGAATGTCATGTGATTGCTTTTTAGCCAATAGGATACTCTCTGATCATTACCCTATACAACATGATGACTTTACGTTTCAAAGTGTTAGTGTGTGTGTCCGTTTCACCAGAGAAAAAAACTTCAGAACAGTTCCTCCTTTAAAATTACATTTCCATTCCGTCCTGTATGAAATGCCTTGAAATCAATCATCTTATTATTCATAGTGCTTTCTTTTATCCAAATTTTGCACAGGATATGTCTATTTATATTGTGTATATTTTGTACTTTAATAAAAGGCTATAAATTAAAGGAAACGCATCATCTTGTATTTTTTGCTGGGAGATTTTTGTTGCACGCAGTTTCAATGGTGAATTGTAGTAAATCAACAAAGTGGGTAATTATTAGTTATGTTTTGAGGATTGTACATATTAGGTATACTCTTTCAAAAATGAGTGAGAGTCCTTAAAAGGGGCAGATAAGATCTAAATAGTATATCCTGAAAACTAATTATCTTTTATGGTTGTGAAAAGAGTGGTAATCAACAAATTAATATTGCATAGAATAAACACTTTGACCTATCTTATCTTATCATTGTTCATAAATTTAAACAATTTTTTTAAATTTTAAGGTGATATAGTTTTGGAATGAAATACCCCCCCCCAAAAAAAAAAAAAAAAAAAAAAAAATATTTCTTAACTCGCCTGTCTTGAATCAACTTTGCAAATGTAAAAGCTATCAAAGGAAATCAAGAAGTCATGTATCCCAACTATTTAGCTTAGAGCTTATAATTTGCATTTAGTTCTGAAGTAAATTTAAGTAGTGGAGAGTTTATACTTCTTAAGTTGATACAAATTGAAAGAAATGTCAAGTAATACACAGTATTTATTCCATTTAAACAAGTTTATTTGTGTAGTGCAATATATTTATACATGAAAATAGTTATACCATAGAATACATATCAAATCATCAAGAAATTCACAAATATATACAAAAATGTCAAATTATTATCTTGTAAGAAATGATCTATGGTGAGCCAGAAGAGCAAATATAACTCTTGTGACTCAACACCCTCCCGACTATAAACAGATAGGCCCAAATGCACAAAGGAGGTTAACATTAACCCATGGTTTAAACCCTCATTTACATAACCCATGGTCTATTAGACGCGTACGAGGCAAGGTATGCTTAATCTGTGCTAATTTTAAACCATGGGTTATTTAACTGATATGGCTTAAACCATGGGTCAGATCTAAACCTCCTTTGTGAATTTGAGCCATGAAGTTTGATTTCAGAGTCTGAGGTGGTATTCTGGCAAACTAATTTATCTTTCACTTTAATAGCGAGAGTTATTAATTTGTCATACTAAATTGAAATGTTTGCAGACAGCATCCAGATCTATGATGTGGCACTGATGTCTTAATTCAGGTTAGATATGACAAATAAAAAACCTCTCACTATCATAGTTTTTAGAATACAACCCAAGATTTCTATAGAATATACATTTCATAACACTATTGATTAAAATATCTACAATTTTTCTTTGTAGCAATATTGCAATAAACCTAATGGACGGACGATAGAATACATGATATTTTTCTATGATCTACAATGAATGGCAAAGAAATTTTAAATCTTTATTCAAATACACGTACAGGTTAACAATTGTTGCTTTATTATGAGACTCATTTATCGGGATATAAGAACTGATCAATTTATTCTTGCTGGGAGAGACACATCAAATGAATTAGGATAATGGTATTCTTGATTGGAGTATAAGAAAATTCTTTCAAAAAATCTTTCACTTGTTAAACAGAAGATTGATAAATAAATGTCACAATTTATCTGGAGGCACAATGTTTCATGTAGTGTAGTAAATATACCACTTTGATATTGATAATGATTTACATGTAACATGATTGTGAGCTTTAAAAAACTTATTCACAATCACCCTAAAGTGGAGTAAACAGTTCAAGGTATATATGAATGCCATCTATCTAGTGATCAATTTACTGAGAGTCCTGACAAGATCAGTCTATGGGTATCTCAGCTGTGGATCGATCAGCATTATGAAACAACTAATGCAAGCTCTTCTTAGTTGCTATGCTTGATCTAGATCTATAAAGTCTCTTTAATTGG